TTTATTGTGGAATGGGTAACTGGAGATTTTTGGCAAAGAAAATTGGAGCTAGGATTTGACAAAGTGGTTCCATCTAAAGAAGCATCATAATGGATGTTACTTGGAGTGACATAAATAAATTATTGTTGGCTAAATCAGAAAGAGAAACAGGCAAATAGGATTGGATTAGGAAGTCGAACTGATATAAAAGATCCCGTTGTCAGGTGAGGCTGTTCTATTAATAAGTATTGAAAATTTCGCCTATTACGATGATTAAAAGTGCTTTAAATTACAGACAAACATATGAACCATCAGAGAATCACCTCCTCAGTATCCAAATCTTTACCTTTGGGAGGTAGGTTTAAGAAACAAAAGGCTTATATTTCCCATGTTCTCTCCTGACCTGAATCTGATAAAGATATCGGGTACTCGACTCATTTATCTGAGATGTTTCGAAAATTTTTAACTTAGAAAAAGTGAGCCGATATATTCAATTTTCACATTTGCTCTTGTATAAACAAAAATGATTGGAACGTGAAATATAAACAAAATCGGTCATTGATTCCCTGATTTAAGAGAATAATTATTCTTCAAAATGTTAACATATTGTGTGGAAAGATCAGAGTAGTTCAATATTGTCAATTGTGGAAAGTTTGGACTGTATCGGGCACTCTCCTCAGATTTTATGTTAAATAATATACGTTTTATATAACACATATGTACGATATTTTAGAAAGTAGTGAGTGAGCAATATTTTCCATACAGAGTGAGATGAAAAAACTGCAACAAACTTCAGACTACTGTCATTTCTAAGCCACTTTTCCGACAGCCGTTAAAATTATTCCAGTGGCAGCTCATTATATTGTTTACAAGCGTACAAAAACATTTTGGTGAGAATTTTCCAAAAAAAAAAGTTATTCGTGATGGAATTCCAGCGTGGTAGTGTGATTTCTTCACATTTGGCTGGAAAACCACAAGTGGCTATCATAAGAGCACTCCAGCATTTAAATGTGAATCAATCTTTTGTTTCTCGTACCATCGCTCGTTACCGTGATACTGGTAGCGTAGCCCGACGTCAAGGAAGTGGACGGAAGAAAACATCATCATCATCAGAAATGGTTCGAAAAGTAAAGAAGCTATATGGCCGAAAAATGGCTCGTGAGCTGAACATATCACAATATTCCATTCCAAATATTGAAAAATGAGCTCGAGGTAAACCCATTGAAATACCAAAATATGCAAGAACTTACACCGCAACAGAAAGAAAATAGACCCAAAGGAGCTAAATACTTGGCCGAAAGTGGTGAACTGCCGAATTTGGTTTTCTCCGATGAGAAAACATTCGTTGTGCAGCAGTTTGTAAACAAACAAAATGATCGTGTTTACTTGCCAAAGAGGGCAGCTGAAAATGTGCACCTTCCACCAGAACTCAAGCGCCATCCATGGTGATGGTGTGGGCCGCCATAACAGCCGATGGTCGCTCTCCGCTCGTATTAATCATCAGAATAAATGCCGAATATTATCGCGAAAATATTCTGGAAGGTGTTTTAAAGCCTTGGGCATGCAAACATTTTGGCCGCAGGCCTTGGACATTCCAACAGGAATCAGCACCATCGCACTCAGCACGCACCACCCAAGAATGGTTACAAAATAAGGTTCCTCGCTTCATTTCCTGCACACAATGGCCACCAAAATCTACGGATACCAATCCGTTGGACTATTGTGTCTGGAGTATTTTGGAATGCTAGGTTGGCACTAAAAAATACCAAAGTGTCAATCACCTCAAGCAAGCCCTTCGCCGGGAATGGGCCAAATACCGCAGAACAAAATTCGGATGGCGTGTGACGGTTTCATTGGCCGTTTGAAGGTCATAATTCGTGCCAAATAATGCGAAATTTTTTGCTTTCATTCAATAAAATTTAAAAAAAAATGTGAAAAATGTGGCGTTTGACTTTGTTGCAGTTGTGAAGTTGTGATTGAAAGATGTCAGTGGTACCAGAAAGATTTATCGCTTTTTCAGCGTATCTGATATGGATATGTGTAAAGCTCGAACAAATCGACTGACTTTTTCTGGATTTATGAAAAATTAAAATTTCCTTTGAATTCGGAAGTCATGAATTAGTAAAATCCGGAAGCACTGATAAGTCATATAAATAGAATAAGGAGTAATACTTATTTGAGTATTGATCGCCTGGAAAATACGTATAAGGCTCTCAAAATCTCATTAGTATGGCAATACCGTTCTATGGGACTTACTTCCAATTGAAAACTCAAATGAGAAATATCACTCGATTCGGTTGAAATAAATGAATATTGAAATATGTATCAATATTGTATTTTTCATATGACTCATTCAACACAATTTGGAGACATTTAAATTGAAAATGTGTCATTTTCGTATAGCTTTATGAAGGATATTTAAAATTGGACTCTATCTAAAAACTCTCTGAGGTAGAATTTTTTATACTGCGATCACTAACTGTCTCATAACTGTCACTTCAGCGAAGAGTTGCAATTGGGCAGCGCATAGTTGTATAATTAAGGATAATCGTTTTATAAATGCTATATATAGTAGATTCTCGTTGGATAGAAATCCATCAAGAGCAAAGATTACAAACAGCGACTAAAACCATTAAAAATCCTAAAATCTGTAATTTTATGGGAGCCAGTGTACCCCTATTAAAACCGAAAATGTTAATTTGATTAAAATCATTTTTATTGGTGTAAAGCTCCTATACTTTAATACCAATCATATGGCTAGATCGTCGAAATTACAATGACTAGGCATGCCTAGTCGTTATTGCAATTTTAGGCCCTAGGTCTCTTTGGACCAAATCCGTTTCAGGACATAAGGGTGTTCGCCTATCTGTCTGGCTGGTGCGCACTATAACTCTCAAAGGGAGTGTCCGATTTGATCCAAACTTGGTACATCGTATGGGCAATATCGCACCACTACTCAAACTTTTCAAATCCAAAAATTTTTAGAAGTGTTAGGTTAGGTGGGAAATGGAACAACTGGTACCTGACCCACAAAGGGTTACAATTTTGAATAATTCTATCTCTCATAAAATGCGAAAATCTTTGTAAACTTGACAAATTCCAACATTTCTACTAACACAGGATCTGTTGTGATAACGGTAGATATCGCCCTTCTGGTACCTCGCCCACAAAGAGTCACAATTTTCAGTATTTATATCTCTCATAATTTGTCAATCAAGTCAGCGATGCTTTTCTAACTTCTCAACCAGAGACATGGTGTGATTGTGGAGTCTATCGGCGACCTCATTCTGCATATTTCAAAACTTTACAAAAATTATTACAAATCTCGTATAAAGTATAGGAAGTAGTCGATATAGGCCAAATCTGGAACCTTTAAACATTTATGTCAGACTTATTTCAAATTCGAAATGGACAACGCTTTCGGAACCTCCTCCATAGAGGAATCTGTCGGAAGATCAGACTGATACTTTTTAACTTCTTAATATGATTTTTGATTTTCCGCAGCCTGTACAAGCCTATCTAATACTATGTTTACATTTGAGCTTTTTGCCGGGTTAACATTCTTTATGGGGATTTATGTGATGTATATGCAATGGATTTGACGATTTATATCCACTGTGTATTCTAAAACCGCTGATCGGCAAACGTACCATTTAATCCACAAAATATGTAAATATCCTTTTATTTTTTACGAAAATCCAGCCGAAGAAATAAACCCTTTTTTAATTCATGCCATCGGTTAGTAAGATACCTATTATTTAAGAAAAGTAAAACCAAACAGGGAAAATATTTGGAAAAATGTATATGAATTGTTAATTTTTACTTAGTTATCGATGTGATCCAGGATTACAAACCATTTGGTGTTTAAAAAGGTTACCTTAAATTTAAACATTTGCAAAATATCCCCAAATATTCAGAAATGTTTGGATAGGATATTTTCAGTACGATTCAAAAAAAATTCCATAATATTTAGAAATCCGAATATTATTTTGTTTCTTTACTGTGTAAAATCTTCACCATCCATCTTGTGTAGCATGCAGGTCAAAAACAATTTATGTATGGAGTTTTTCGCTGGCATTACAAAACAAACTCACAAAAGAAAATAAACAGATCTTTCACACACCACTCATGCATACAGAACACGCGAATTCTTTTCTAAACACTTGATTTAATTGGAATTAATTAAAATTTATTTATGTGTGCGTGTGTGTATTTGTTTCTTTGCACTTGCATACACTTGCAAAAATCGTTTGGGTTTGCACTTTTATGCTGCTGCACGCGGCTTTTTCAAATTATATTGCACATATTTTCATCCTTTGGTTTATTTGGATTTTTCTCTACTTCTTTTTGTTTTTCTCTTGTATTAAATTAAATTGCATCTAGCTTTTCTCAATTTCTTTTTGTGTTTTTGTTTTCTTCTTTTTATTTTTTCAAGTTACACTGGAGATATTTTTCTTATTTAATTCAATTTCCTTTTTACCCCCTCAATACACATTCGCATTCACATGATATTTTCTTATGTTGTTGTTGTTTTTTTAATATTTTACTTTGTGTTTATTTTTTGTATTTTTTGCATGGTATAGTAAAAATAGTGAAGTTAAATGTAATGGAAAACAAAGCAAAAGGCAAAAAAGAAAGTTTTTTTTATAATCGCATTTTGAAATATGTTTTGTAGCTCTACAAACAATGCTCAACGGCAGCAGCAACAGCAGCGGCTAAAGGCAATTTTGTTAAGCTCCACTGTACATGTGTTTGAATTGTGCACAGATGTATGGTTTGAGCAAGCGACCGAGCATGTGTGTATGTATGGTCTCAGCCAAGCATGTCATTCATGCACTATTGTTGCGATATTGCGTTTTACACCTCACATATGGAGTATCACGGAGAGACGAACACACACACACACATATATCAATTTCGAACTATTCGCCTGCACAAATTGTTGATTATTCACTTTTCACACAAACTCTCCGACACATACCAAAAAACATATGGATGTTGGAGCACACCAATACACATACCCAAACACTTGTCTTGTCGTGTGTAAATTATAACCGTTGTTGTTGAGGCACACCAAACCGCCGGTTGTTGTTGTTTTTTTTTTCTTGCACAACACTGTTGCTTTTGTTGTTTTTGTTTGTTTGCTGTTCACTTTTCTTTCTCGCTTGCGCCAGCGTTTAATTCGCGTTCACTTACCAATTCGGTAAAAGACGTTGTTAACTCAAGCACGGTTCGCACTAAACTGTTGGGGAGCTCCCCAGCACATGGCTAGATGGCCATGCACAGGCTGTGTGGTAAAAGAAACAAGAAAGTGTGGTGGGATTCGCCATCTCTTCTTCTTGTGTATGGGTGTCGTCTGAGAAACCGATATCTCCGCTCTCCAAGCATAAAAATTGTATAGGGTCCCAAACATAAAAATACCAACAATTTGGTTTTTTGTTTCTTCTCCAGCTCAAGATGCCTACCAACTGAAATACCAGAGAAGTTGGTGTTTGTCTGATCCCAAAATGTTGATGTAATTTGCATATTTGTAGTCTTCTTTTTGTGTGTGGTTCATGTTGTCTTCATCATCATCTTCGTCGTCTGTTTTTTTTTCTTATTGATGTCGTTGGAATTGTTAATGATTTTAAAGAAATGATTGGTAGAAATTCCACAAAAGACTCAAGACACAAACTTGTCTCATTTTCTGTGCTACTCACCTGGCGAGAGGGAGAGTTCAATCGAAAGACTTAAGAAACAAGCACATCGTGATTTATCAACAAAGACGACGCAAAGGAGTAACATTTTTTTTATTTTTCAATAGCGTCTCAGCGTGATATTTAATTAGCCACGAAAGATACTGTTAATTGAGTTCTTACAGACAGCATTTAATTACATAACCTTAAGCAAATTCCTAAACAAAAAAACAGAAACTCACAAAAAAACAGTTGGACAATTTTATTCTAAATTTGGCGAAAAAATTTGAATTTCTGTTATATCTGTTCTTTCATAATACGATGCGCAGTTAATTCCAATAATCTATAAATGATTTTAGAATTGGGTGAAATCGCAAGAATTTCTTGGCAAAACAAATTTCTTGGCTTTTCAAATTAGAAGATACGATGTATGGAAAGTGTGGCATTAAAAAGTTGGGAAGGTGTTATGTCTTTGTCAGTAATAGTTGATGTGTGTTATTTATAAACAACTTTACCATAGCAAAAATAAAGCTTATTTGAAAAATAAGGTCATTTGAGTTGATTACACTATGCAACACAAAAAAAAAATTACGGGGAAAATCCAGCAGATTATGAAAAATGTTTTTTTAATATTTATGGATTTCTGCAATGTAGCTAAGACTTAGATCCTTCTAGTCTTTTAGAACCCATAGTAGATTTTTTAAAAGTGTGGAAGTAGGGGGAATTTCCCTCTCTATTTAGGTTACTATTCAAAGTAAACTTTCAAAACGCCGATAAAAGTGTCTTCCTTTTGGCCCTACTTAGGCCTACTGGATTTTTTGATAATTATTGAAAACATTGAGTTTTGTCGCATAGTGTTATTGATGCAAACGAAATCTTTCCAAGAAAAAATAATTTTCATATTTGGTCGGGCGATAATTGGAGAATTTAGAATGTTATCCATTTTTTGTGGATATATTGAGAATTTATTTATTTATTTTACCCACCACTGTACTATGGAGTATAGACTCCATATAAATGTACCCTTAGATATTCAGTTTTCTGATGATTTGTATCACACTTTTTTCCAGAATTGTTTCATATTTGCTTTTTGAAAATAGTGAAGGGGATTACCTCCTTTGGCATAAAATTACATATACAGGTCCATTACATCGGAATGAAAAAAAGTACATAGTTGTAAAAACCATTTATAAAGGTATATATAAATTATGTTTAATTCAAGATATATTTAATCTTATTTAACTTATGCTCCTTAGTCGATTTTGCAATGTCCCTCTGTTGTAATCACGCTAGAGTCCAAACGGCATGTGATAGAAAGCTAAAATTTTCATTACAGCTGTCTTTCGTCTGCAGTCAGGTTAGCCAGGTTCCTATAGCCATATAAAGGTACTTTCCGATATTCCGTATTTTGACAATTTAAGCCACCTTTTCTAACGGAATTATTTAAAATTTAATGTTTGGATTCCGTAATGGGTTCTTCCGCTTATATTGAACAATTTCTATATAAGTCAACGTTTTTCTCCCAATATTCGATATTTTGATGATTGTAGCCAAATTTTTTACAGAATTGTTTGAAATTTGGATTAGAGGTCCCTAATAACAGAAGTAACGCATGCCCCTCGAATACAGTAATTTCGGCATTTTCGAACATACTCCCAAATGGTGAAGGGTATAAAAAGTTTGCTAAATTTATCCTGTAATTAAATATGTGAAACAGTGTAATGATGAAAATACTAAAAATACTAATAATTAAAACTATTAAATTCCGAAACGCTTAGAACAAGTGTTACATTGTCATAATTCTCTTCACGAAATTGAAAGCTGTGAGTCAACATTTATTGCAAAATTTTCTTAAATCAATTGGTTTATTTCATTTTAAAATTTCCAATGTCTAACTCTTAATGAATGTGTTTTCTTTTGTTGGACTGTCATGGCTGTTGCACACCGACTGTCCGACTCCTTGCATAGAAATCGAAACATGTCCTAAGGGTGTACACTCGTCATGGATAACTTCAAGTTATTCTCTTGTCTTGTGGTTAAACTTACCACGAATATTGAATTTCTATTAAAAACAAAAAAAAAAAAAAAAAACGTCAGTCAATATCAACAACGACGACAATGTCCAATGGCGGCAATGACGTTGGCGAAAAGAAAATTTGTATCAATCTCCTCCTCTAATGTCTAATCTGATGGTAGTTTTCTTTCATCCTACAGTAGAATTGCATGCAATTTTCTCTCTGCACCAAGCAATGAATGCAGAAACCTCTTGATAGATGGAAAAAAACGATCTCATGATTCGGACCAAAATCATTGAATCATATCGAAATAAAAAAACGAATGCAATCTTAAGAATTACCCATAAAATACAGGCAAAAAGCTGTAAGTTTATCCAATCTAAAGTGAGTATAAGCAAAAACGAACAATACAAAATTTTCAATTTCTTTTCAATTATTTGCAAAAACAATCAAAACATTTCCCTACTGATGAGATAAGAGAAGCCTATGTAAGAGGAAATATTGAAAAATAAATCGAATACAAATAATATCGTCAAATGCTAACATTGAATGTGGATATTAGAAGTATTTAATTCGCTTCAAATTTGCAATTTCAATGAATATTGTTTTTTAATTAATGTTAATTAAACTTTAATTCAATCATAACCCAATGCCAGATCCAAAATGAGATTGTTTAACGTTGGCAACGTAAAATCTTTTACGCCTGTAGAAATTTAAAAATATTAAAACCTATAATTACAGTGGCTTCAATTATGAACGCGCTCGACTAAGGCTATTTCGATTTCGTTAATGTTATAATTTCGAAGAAGATACTAACTTGCGTATATATTATTATTATTAAGATACGGAAACGGTGGGTATTAATTAGTAGAGAATGTAAATTTTGCCTTACGATTGGTGGTGCCTTCAAGTATATACAATTTTAACTAGCTTAAGATTCTATGTCGATTTAACCTTACCCGTGGTGTCTAAAAAACATCGCAATATGCATTACATGGAGCTATAAAACTAATCCTCTCTTGATTGAATTTGAGTATACCGGTAATATTTGGTATATATTTCAAACATATTTCAAGTTAGCAGATAAACTTTACATATTTACACGCAAGAGTTTATAAAAAACAAATGTGCAAATTTCAAAAAAAATCCGTTGAAAAATACTGGTCATATCACAAAAATACCGAATATACGGAGTTTCCGTTATATAAGGGCTAATACGAAGACCTGGCCCTGCATATGCACTTTTCTATCACAGGCTTTGGCACCCACAAGCACTTTCAATATAAAATTTACAACAATCCCGGTGGATAATTTTGCTAAAATCATTAAAATATAGAATATAGGAAGGTACCGTTATAAGGGTGCCTTACGAAGACGTAGGTCATATGATGTAGTACCCATTAGGAACTTCAAATTCCAAATTTGAAACATTTCCGGAGAAAAGTGTGACACAAATCATCAAATTACCGAATATCCGGAGATACAGTTATATGGGGAATATACCAAAACCTAATCATATATTGGCAGGTCTATACAAGGATGTTGGATGGGAACACATGCTGCTAATTCACAGCAAATTCGGATTAAAACTACACGCAGAGAAAAAATATAGTTGAACATTTTCACTGCAATCACTAAATATTTGCTACAATCATACAATTGTTCCCTCAAACATGTTTTTATTGGTTTCAACCACATTATTATTTCCACAATAAAAACCTGATCAATATTTTGTAGGAAAAATGTTTTTCATTAAAAAATCTGCAGTATGGTTACTTTGAACAATCATACAATTATCAGAGGAACTATTTAATAGTTGCTGATACAATAATTGTTTGCATTAATAAAATATTTTATGGTTACATACCATTTACATAGTTGTAAGCAAAAATTCTATGGTCGATTTTTTTATCCATAATGCAATTATCAGAATCTTACTAACATTAAACATGACATGATTAGATGGAATAATAACATTGTCATTCCGTATGTTGCTGTAAAGCTCCCACGATGCTTTCTTCAGTTTATATTCGACAACGTTCGAAGTCGTTCGTACTAGTTTATAAATAAACGGGTATTGTGAAATAAAAGTGTTTTTCATAGTTTTTAGTTTAATATTTACATGTGTCATCCTACACTTTAATGTAATATATACATATATTAGTTTAAGAAAATCTAAATTATAGAAATTCAGAAAATTTTTGCATTTCTTGCAAAATGTCTGATTTTCTATTAAATATCCCGATAATGTAAACGTATATCTATTCGTATTTATATTTTGTGTATGCGTTGGAATGCAATATCATTTTTGAAATTAATAACGATATTTTTATTGCAACCATGTTATGTTTGTTGTCAACAAATAATTCTGCATTTTCAAACATTCATGCATGGTAGAAGAATATAGGTAGACGCATCGACACAGCTGCTTGGGCAATGAACTGTCAAACCAATTCTGGAATTGAAAATTTTGAATGAAAAATTATTTAAATTTGTAAAAATTGTTGAAAAACGCGAATTATAATAGCCATGACGTAGTATATGAAAGTATATGAAAATCTACTTATATTTGAAAAAAAAACATTTAAATTTTTTTGACATATCAATGCTCCCAAGCGTTGATGCATCTACCTGTATTCTTCTGCCATGCATTCATGCATACATACGTATTTCTTGATGAGAGTCCCGTTATTTTTTTTTTTTTTTTGCTTGCAAAAAAAGAACAGAATTTACGTCAGTTGTTCTGTTCTGTTTGTGCGAGAAAGTTGTGCGTTTAACAAAATCAATAAATGAAAAGTTTAAAATTTATAAAAACAATTTTTGGTGACAAAAAAGAAATAATTTGACGGAGATAACAATTACCAATTGTTCCTAGATGAAGGTAAATATAAGAAATTTGATAAAACAAACACAAAGTGTGCAAGCAATTTTGATGTTTATTTATGTAATTATGTTTGTTTGTTTTAATTGCAGTTCGTAAAAGCTACAGTTTAAGAGATGTTAGTGTAGACGTACTCTCTAAAGGTTTCAAGATAAAACAAAGCCATTTTCCGGATTTTGTTAAACAGTTTATTGGATCTACTGATTTTGTTCTAGACATTAAGCTGCCAAGTAAGTATTAGTTAAAAGAAACAAATTTATTTCTAATTGTAGAATTTTATATTTTCTTACTTCTAATTTTCTCAGGTATTGACGTTTGTGTATCCAATACGGACTCTGCATTTGAAAGTGAATCTATAGATTCCCCATCAGCAGAACATTTCGCAGCTGCTCATCAAGCAATATCCTGCATTGGAAACATTTTTAAATTCCTCCCAAGACATAATTGTTTTCACCAGTGTGGACATTTGCAAAGTCTTCCATCAAAGCAGGTAAGTCTTTTCTTTAAACATGATTTTCATTTCAAGTACTTTAGTACATATTCTTATTATATATAGTAGAAATAGTGAGTTTCTATATTTCAACAATATATTTCTTTAGGAAATTAGCGCCATCCCTGATATTAACCAATTCTTAAATGTTAAAACATTGGAAAATAAGGACCGCATTAAAATTTCAAAGGCTTTAATGGAATTTATTCTAAATAAAACCCCAAACAGACAGTATGTATGTATGTATGTTTCTGTATCTAAAGAAAATAAGTTATTTTTGAATTGATTTGACGTACAATGAATGTATATTATATAATAAAATAAAATATATTTTAAATAAATAATGCATTTTATTCACAGGTACTTTAATGCATGTAACCATATTACGTTTACCTGTATTATAACATGGTTAGACAGTATGGTTACATTGAACTATAACATGGTTATTTTATAGCCATAGCATGATTGTTTATCTACCATAATATTATTAACTAGGACCATACTATGATTATTTAGAAAAATATTATGTTTATATTGGAACCACAGTATGGTTTCCCATGACCATGGTATGATTAGTTGAAGAACAATAAATGGTTAGGAACAACCATTACATGGTTAGTTGGGGACCATAGTGTTTTTGAAAGAGAACAATAATTATTTTTACGGTGACCATTGTATTGTTAAAATTTTAAATTTTATGCCAAAAATGTTATGTATGTACTATGGTTGCTTCAACCAGGTACTATGTTTGCTGCAGCCATATCCCTACCATAACATTATGCTCTTCGAATATAGTTGCTGCAACCATAATCGTTCTCTGCGTGTATGACTAAGACAATCAAAAAACCTTAAATCTGTCGGTACAGCTAAATGAGGGCTATACTAAAACGTGGACTTAATGGGTGAGATGAAAAAACTGCAATAAACTTCAGACTACTGTCATTTATAAGCCACTTGTCCGACACCTGCTAAAATAATTCCAGTGACAGCTCATTATATTTTTTAAAAAAGGTACAAAAGTATTTTTGTGAGAATTTTTCAGAAAAAAATTATTCGTGATGGAATTCAAGCGTGAAGTGTCATTTCTTTATATTTGGCTGGAAAACCACAAGTGGCTATAGTTAGAGCACTCCAGCATTTAAATGTGAATAAAGCTTTTGTGTCTCGTAGCATCGCTCGTTACCGTGATACTGGTAGCGTAGCCCGACGTCAAGGAAGTGGACGGAAGAAATCAGCAGAAAAGGTTCGAAAAGTAAAGAATAGACTTGATCCAACCCCGCGTCGCAGTGGCCGAAAATGGCTCGTGAGCCGAACATATCGCAATATTCCATTGTCAAAATATTGAAAAATGAGCTCGGGGTAAAGCCTTTGAAATTCAAAAAGTAAAAGAACTTACAGCGCAACAGAAAGAAAATAGACACAAAAGTTGTCGCTTGGCCGAAAGTGGCGAACTGCCGAATTTGGTTTTCTCCGATGAAAAAACATTCGTTGTCCAGCAGTTTGCCAAAGAGGACAGCTAAAAATATGCACCTTGACCATCAGAACTCAAGCCCCGGCCATGGTAATGGAATTGGCCGCCATAACAGCCGGTGGTCGCTATCCGCTCGTATTAATCGACCGTGGCATCAGAATAAAGCCTTGGACATTCCAACAGGACTCAGCACCATCGCACTCAGCATGAGGTTCCTCGCTTCATTTTTAGCACACAATGGCCACCAAAATCTCCGGATACCAATCCGTTAGACTATTGTGTCTGGAGAATTTCGGAAAGCAAGGTTGCTCTAAAAAATACAAAAGTGTCGATCACCTCGAGCGAGCGCTTCGCCGAGAATGGGTCAAAATTCAATAAAATAAAAAAATGTAAAAATTATGGCGGTTGACTTTTTTGCGGTTTTTTTAATCTCACCCTGTACATTGTACCTAATTTGCTTTACATCTGATATCTTGGCTATTAGCATCACTTTAATGGTCTGAAGTGACCTGTTAACGTATTTGTGATTTCGTCGAAATTAAAATTATTCGCGCTTTAGTTAAGTTAAGTTTAATCGAATTTAATTGTAGATTTTGACAGAAACCGTCAAAATAGCGAAATTCTGGAGATACCGTTATATGGGTGCTATACAACTTAGTGGACGTGTAACGAATATTATTTGCTTGTAAATTGTGCCTGAAACCTTCAAAAGACCGAAAATCTGGAGGTACCGTTATATAGGGGCTATATCTAACATAAACATTTGCCCCAAATTTCAAAGTCAGACAGACGAAAGGACATCGTTAATTCGCCTTTCAATTTTATTTTAATCAGGAATGTATAAAGATGAGATGTTGCAAACGGAATAGTAAATTTAATATACCCTCCAATGTATGTGGGGGATATAAAAAAGGTTATCGCATTAAAAAGTTTTACATTCTTGCAATTCTGGAAGGGAACAGAATATATAATCTACAGCTGTAGAAGATTCCAAACCCCAAACGATTTTCAGGTCAAACTTTTTTAGCCTTTAACTAGCCCTGACCTAATAAAAAGGGGCACAAATATTTCGAGATATATGTCATAACATTAAGCCTTGACAATTTATAGAGGGCTTTGAATTACTTTACGGATCATAAAACTAAATCTGGGAATTTAAAATATAATCAGTATTTGTTACACAACCAACCAAATCGATTGCTATCGATATATATGCGGTCAAAAACTTATTCTAAAAAGAAAATTACAATTAAAATACACATTTTCTACCAACTGAACACATCAACAAGTGAATTTCTTTATAAAGCCATTGCAAGTGAAATTATTTGACCTATCCGTGAGATACAATTTTGGGAATTCCGTTATTTTAGCAAACTCACTAAAAAGCTTTTTATTATTTTTTGTAAGCATATTATTGTTTTTTTTTTATCAAGCTTGATAAGTTTTCGTCTCGTTTTCACACACGCTTCATTTTTTCAGGCCGATCATTATTTTATTATTGTCTCACAAATGAGACGAACTTATTTACCATCCAAGTAGTGGTGTCAATTAAATCCCATTAAGCACTTGAAAAAGAAGCTATGATGATTTTTTTTTTATTTTTCGAGTATTTATGCGCCAATTTAACAGCGGATAGATGCAAGCTGAGATAACTGTTAAAAGGTAAAAAATAATAAAAATGCCAATAACAATTATACGTGAGAAAGTTCCGCAATTTTGATGTGTCTGTGTGAATGGTAAGTTCTATTTGATACATACACATATGTACATAACTGGAATGAATAATTATGGAGTTGTTTACTAAGCTTGGTATAAACATCCACTTTTCTGGATATTTATTGATTTTTACCCAGTTGTAGATCAAAACCCTTGCAACCATTTTTTTAACGCTGTGGAGAAAATTATTGCATGACTGTCACACAGAGGGGCCTGACTGTCACACAGAGGGGCCTAAAATACCGAATATCGGAAGGTACCGTTATGACCTGCCACGGACTTTGTTTTGTTTTATAGCATATGGTACTGGATCTCCATCTTCTTCTTCTATATCTATAAAAGATGAAAATGTTTGCATATTTGTTTGTTTGTAATTTTGGACACGAAAACCGCTCCACAGATTTTCCTGAAAATTTGCAAGTATACTACAACATCGCCTCCTCTCCAAATTTGGAATGCGTAACGGAATTTGGAACAAAAATAAATTATAATTATAATCGGTTCAGATCCGATGCACCGAAGAAGCACCAAACACGCTATGTATCGCTAATTTCAATGAAAATTGGAATGTGTAGTGGAATTTGAACATACATATGCTAAATTATATTAAAATCGGTTCAGAGTTGAAGATAGCTTCCAAATATATAAATTAAAAATTAAAAAATAAATTTCTCAAATTATATTGAAATCGGTTCAGATTTGGATATAGCTCGCATATATATTTTCGGCCGATTTCATATATTTGGTGCGCCAAACACGACACGTATGTCTGATTCCAATGAAATTCGACATGAGCGACTAAATTTGGTACAAAAATAAATTTGTCAAATTATATTGAAACCTTAAATTCACTAATTGCAACAGAAATGCCAACTTCAAAAGATTGCAGTTTCCTGCACGCTTGGCATTTGCTATGAAATGAATAAATCCGAAGAATAAACCTTTCGTGTATGCGGACTAAATTTGGCATGTTCCTGCTTTTCTCATTGTCAGCTGTTCCTGGCATATTCACGCGTTGGTAGACCGAGCTATTTGTTTGTTAACGCATTAAAGTTTTACAATAATTTTTTTTTTTAAATTTGTTTTATTTTTTTTAAACCAACAGATATTTGTATAAAAATTTTGAATGCATATAAAATCAAAAGGGGTTAGCGACGGTTTCAGCTAGTATTTTATATAATTTTAATTGACAGATCTCATCCGCGTAATATATGTCACCAAGAAAATTGTATAAGTTCCATCTTATACGTATATCTGGTACTTGGGAGCATGTTTCTTCCATTACCTAGTCGAAGATGAATGACGAATAGTGTGGGTGATTATACACACACTATTCATCACCCGTCGAGGTATTAAAGGGTTTTGGTATACTTACTATTAAAAAGTACTTTATATGGAAGGTCTACGTTTTATCATCATCCACTATACAATGGTACCTTCCGATAATCGTTACTTTCCGATTTTAGCCAAATTTTTTTAAGAGAATTATCTCAAAATTGGTATAATGAGTTTGCAATAGGCCTTCTCTGAAAAATTTTTCTATGGCTGTGGCACCCGATATCATAATTTTTAAGGCATTTATTTAAAGAAATTTAGCATTCTCTCTCTAAATGGTGAAGGTATTAGGCTGTCCATTTTCTGCCATTTATCTAGTCATTTTAACAAAAACAAGTAAGCAAATGCTATAGTCGTGCGGAGCCAATCATGTGATACCCTAAAATACTACAATATGTTAAAAGGCCCCTAATGTCCAAATCCATTTTGGAAGATTTCGCTTTTGAAATAATGCATAGAGCATTGCCCAAACATTATCCTTAGTTTTTTGACCAGGGACTTACGCACTCCGTCGAGTTGTTAGTTGTTGTTGTTGTAGCAGTAGTGCATGTATGTGTTTGCGTTCTGCTAATCTGGTTCCAGCTCCAGGTTTAGAAATTCGGCTACTTTAACGGGCTGTAGCCAGAGATCTTCTGGAGTGAGTTGGGTAGGTTTGGCTGAGCAATTAAAAAGGTCTAGCGTATTTTGCGGGCCTGTATCGCACGCCGGGCAGGCGTCACGCACATCTTCATCAATTCGTGCCCAATACGAATTGAGACGACTACATCATCCTGAAAGTAATTGCGCCAAAACTACCCTGGTTTGTCTAGGCAGCTGACATTCTTCAGCTGCAATGGATGGGGGTGGACTCCGAGGACGGCATTCACTTTATAACTGCTTATAGCATCCGCGACTGCATCGGTGTGAATGCCACTCAGACCTGCCTGATAGGCTTCTTGATCTAGAGGTTCTCTCTTGTAGGGCTGGACCTCCCTCTCTAGATCATGTATGTCCTTCCTGACACGCATGGGTGGGGGAGATTTATCCATCATATGATGGTTGGGATGACTCTCATGGTAACACCCAATCAGGTACTGCAACGAAAGCATATGATTATGCTGACGTAAGGGTAGGACTTTCGCCACCTCATGTAGATGGTCCACTGGTGTCATGAGGAGGCACCCTGTCGCAGTTCTCAGGGCAGCGTTCTGGCAGGTCTGGATATGCTTCCACTGCGTAGCACTAGTATTCGCAGACCACACTGAAGCCGCATAGCTGACCACAGACCGACCTATCGCGTTATAAGAGGTCAACAAGGTTTCATGAGAGATGATTTTACAGCTAAGTATAATCCAATGGTCATCCGAGATGTAAGACCTCTCAAGCAAAATTCAGGGAAATTTTTCCATTTTTGATTTATTTGAACCCCTAAACAATTTGCGATCATCTCCAAATGCAAGAGGTCCGTCTGTATCTCCAAAATTAGCCACATCTATATGATTTGCTTAACTACGATATTCGGCTAGATCGGACAATAATTGCAATCTGTATATAATATCCCCAACCTGTGTTGTATGGTGAAAAAATATTACAAAATGTACACTTCAATATTATAAGTCAAATTGAAAAAATCACATGCCATAAAAAATATCACAAATTATCACAAAATCTATATTGACATCTTTTTATGCGATATTTTTAGATTTTATTCTTTTATGCCAAAACGACATTCTGAATTGACAAAATTTGTCAAAATCGGTCCAGCCATTCTTGAGATATAAGCATTCTAGCTAACATCTCTTTCCTTGTATATACACATTGTATATATTTTGCTATATATGTCCGATATATTTATTATCGGCATCTACGTGACGGTCAGAATTGATCTTTTCGTATATTTGTCATTTCGGCGGACTTTTATGTAACACAAATGTTATGGTCTATTTCACCCACTAAATATTACCCGATGACCATTCAAATTGGAAGGCTTCTGCCGAGCCCTAAGTCCTAGCACCATGCTAACTTCCGCGTCGATTGGGGTATATTTGCGACCTGTAGAGCAACTGCAAAATCAGGAAACTTTTCAGTTTTTGGTCCATTTCAAGCCCTAAATATTTTGCGATCATCTCCAAAAGCAATATGCAATAGGCTTCTATTCTGACCATAACCCACCTCCATTTTCAACTTCGTGAGAATTGCGACCTTTAGCGTGATTATAAATTAACATGGGTAGACGGACGGACGGACATACATAGCTAGCTATGTATTGATAGCACACATAGCTAGATCATATATACTTTCCTATGTGGGAAACCAATATTTTGATGTGTTACATAACCTTTGGCCCAATTAAACTTATCATACCCCCAATACATAGTGTTGTAGGGTATAAACATGTGAAAAAATATTCGCGGGAATCACCTCTTGGTTAGCAAACTTTACTTAAGTTCCTTAATGGATGGACCTTAATCTAGATGATCTAATGATTACAATTTCGGAGTAGCAATATTAAGTTTAAGAGTATTAATAGTTTAATAAAAAAAATAAGAAATATAACGTAATACGGGTCAAGGATCCAGAATATAAACCCCAAATACCAAATTTGAATAATTCCGCTGAGACGTGTGAATACCTGGTGAACAAAAACTGTCAATGAACAGAAATATTTTTTAAAATTGCAACTAAACCGGCTTAATTATGCCAGGAGCTATTCCAAAACATGGGCTTATTTGCCCATTTGCAATATCAAACCATTAAACGGACCTAAAATACATTTGAGTAAATTTTGGTTTATCTATTTTATTTCATTCGAGAGCTAGAGTGATTTCTACAGAAGATAAGAACAAGAATATATATACTTTGTGAAATCGGAGACCCATGTTTCGTATATGTAGGAGGGTATAAAAATGAGAAGTCATGGATCAACTGGAACAACTTAATTAATTTTCTTTTAATTTCTGAACTCGAGAAAAATTCGTTTGGTTTGTGCCTTTGCTAGTTAATTTTAAATGTATATGTTTTTAAAACTCCACTGCGTTTTTGTAATACAATATGGGTTTTTATTAAAATAAAATAATTTCGCATTTATAATTTTAAAACAATATATATGGCGTACAATAAGAAACCGATCATCAATTCTGATTTCGATTATAAAGTTATAACGAAACATAAAATGATATTTCCAATCGAAAATGTGATTTTTCTTTCATTTTAGTGGCAAATAGAAACAGGGAGATTGTAAATTGTTATTTATACAATACGGTTTACAAATAAATAAAGACAATATCTTGTAAAACAACACGAAGCGATTACAAAAAAAAAAAAAAAAAAACAGCGATTTTTGTGATTTCAATATTTTCTAGTATTTTGGCAGTTCCGAGTAACGAGGTGGTGTTGACCATAAGACACTGGAATTGCGTTTCAAATGGCGTGAATCTATGTTGGGGAAAATCTGTTTTAGATCTGGGGTCATGGGTTGAACCGAGAAGAAACTGTCAATATAACTCGACGGAGTGTACTCCTGCTTCAAAACATAAGGTTCACGTTTGTGAGCTGGAAAATGGGAAATAGATTTTAAGTTTCTATGAGTACTTCTATTAGATAAGTCTTATACTTACTTCGACTCCATGACGGTGGTGGAGGTCGTTTATATGAAACTTTATCCTCATCATCGGTAGAGTCATCTTCGTGTAACATTTCAAATGTGTATTTCGATGTTGCCTTCGGTGGCGGTGGCATCATTCGCTGTTTGGCGTGCATTTGCTGCTGTTTCATTTGCAATAGCAATTCACGTTCCTTGGCAGCCTTAGCCCTGGCTGCTTCCTCCTCTTGCAAGCGCAATTTTCGTTGTATCTCTTCTAGTTCACGTCGCTTTTGTTCCTGCTCCTGTTGTTTCTGCAAACGTTTTTCCTCTCGTTCCTTAGCTAATTTGGCCATGCGTTCGGCGCGCTCGCGCTCCTTCGCTTCACGTTGCTGTGCGGCCAACAAATGTTTCTGTTCCCGTTGTTTCTTGCGTTCCTCGGCCAAATTGTGTAGGCCTTTGCGGAAGTCGTCAGCACTGTTCTCACGTTGCAAAGTCTTTGTGCTAGATGCCGTGGAGGCGCTTCTTTGTAGCATACCACTGGCAGATTTCTGCATTGTTTTCGAGGCACTGGTGGGGACTTTTTTAGCCACTGCACTACCCGTTGTTGCAACATTAGAACTTTGAGTTGGTGTAAGGAAACGACCAAGTGCGGGAGCTGGCAATTTCCCAATGACAGGAGTTGTAGATCCGTTCTGAAATTAGTAAGAATTTTTAAATGGAATTCTTGTCAAATGCCGAATTAAATCAATTCTTACCGGAGTAACATTTTCCTTTTTACCACGTTGTGGTCTTTTAGATTGTTCGGAAGCTGCAGCAGCAGCATTTTCAAATGCTTCAACCCGCATTTTTACAGGACTTTGAGCCAAGGGGCTGTAATGAATTTGAGAATAGAGATTAATGAGAATAATCATCAGCTTCTGCAACAGTACTTACTTAAAAAGCTCATTGGTACGTGTTGGCATTTTATATGTAGCTTTGGCAGAAGCTGATGTTTTTGATGTCTTGGCCGAGGCGGATGATTTGGATTTAGCGACGGGTACAGGGGCAGGTGCTGGTGGCTCTTTTTCTATTGACTCATCCTCCGTGAGAAGGCTTTCGTCATGTGGCATTGACGAGTCTTTTGCCGTTTCAAATGATCTTTGTCCGGCCCCGTCATCATCATGTTTATCGGCCTTGGTGGATGTTCGAACATCGAACGTAGCATCAGCTCCGGAATTTTGATTCAAGGTTACCGTAGCGTTCGGATTACCTTCTACAACAAATGTCGTCTGTCCTGGTGTCACTTGGAAAGTTGTTTGAGCTGGATTTGTACAGAAGGTAGCGTCGCCTGGTACTGGACCTAAGTTGATTGTAGCATCGGCAGGAACTGGAGATGGTCCTAGATTTACTGTTTCATTAACAATGCCAGCCAATTTCGAATTATTGACTGGTGGGGCCTCCACAGCGTCTTCATAAATAGATGCACCACGTTTTGTTGTTTCGGCCGCCTGTTCTTGCTCCAACTCCTTCTCTTCATTTTGAGACATTCGCCTTCCCGTACTTCCTTGGCGTGTGCGTGAAGATATTGGCGAAGGTTTCCGATCCAAATCGCTGAAACGTTCAACTTTGATAGGTCTCGGAGCTTCCTTCTTCTTGCGAGTTTTCTTGCCTGCAGTTGATGATGCTGTTGTCGAAGACAATACACTGTTACTGGCCATTGACGATTCTTCGAGGGTAGTTGTCTCTGACTTAGCTGCTGCTGGCAATGGCTGTGGTACAGTGGTTGGTGCCTTGAACACACTTTCATCGACACTCTCTTTCTGCGATGGTAGACTAACCTTTTCTCGTTTGATTTTGATACGCAAACTTCGAGTTCCAGCGTCTGATGATTCGGATGGCACACCTATTGTATAAATGTGAGGTAATAACAAAAATATGATTAATGTTTTGTTTTAAAATTCATAGCTCAGAAATTAAAAAAATATATTTTTTGGACTTCGGATTTGTTGTTAAGCCAATAACTTGGTACATTGTTTTCATTGCTCTCCGTTCATGATATGGGACATTTTGAAATTCAAATATTCTGCAGAAATGTCATTTGAAGTAAAGTTGGTTCCTCAAAGACTCGAAATTTATATTGGCACGTTAGTTTTTCTTGACCCTCGCTCAAACAGTTATGCTTTTAATGCAGTACATCTCATAGCATATATTTGTTGAGATCAATACATACCCTCTTTGCACACCCACACCCATACATCATGTTAAAATTTGAGTCACAGTCAAACTTGAAGTAAATCGAAACATACAATTTTCGAATTATATAAGAAAAACCAATAGCTCACCTCCTAACAAAAAATATACATGTCTCTATAATATAATGGTATTATTGGCATATACCTATATAGAGTACAGTTCATCATTACTTTCCTACAATACTAATTTAAAATATGATAACGTTTTTAGATGTGTAAACAATATTAAGAATGAAGAATCATAACACGAAGTAGAAAAAAATTGTTAAAACCAAGGAAGCGATTGTCCGCATTACCCCTCTAATTTGTCCAAGAGACAGTGTGATAACAATAGACGGACAGACTGGCATGGCAGACACGCTGATGCAATCATTAAACTCCTTAAAGACAAACGACAAACTTAGTGTAGTATCATCCACCATCACATGGCGGAGGGTCAAAATGTGCAAATTAACCCACACATCTGTCCTTGTTAGAAGATCATGTACGTCATTCATTAACCCAACTCATTGTCATCCCTTAAACTTTTTAATTTCACAACTGATTATAGCAACATTACACATCAGCATAGCATGTATACTTTTCCAAGTAGAAATTTTCTTTTTCTTACCATTTTCTTCGGACGCACATGGTTCGTTCGGAACTGCAGCTTCTGCCTCTCCAGATGTTGCAGTGGAACCAACTCCTTCATCATCTGAATTCTCATTTATAACTATACATGCTGGTTTTTGCGGTGGCAAAATCAATATGGAGTCAGTTGATCTGACGCTACCTATTGTGTCTTCAGGAGAATTTTCAGTGAGCGTTGCAGTCTTTTGAGACGAAGAAGATTTCTCATGCATTTGCGAAGGTCGCTGTTCATGTTCAAGTTTGACTTTAACTTCACTGACAGAAGGTTGGCGCATTTTATTTTTCAATGTTGGCTCCTTAAGATTCTTTTCGCATTTTATTCTGGCTTCTCGCTTGGGTCTACCCGAGGTAACAACTTCTTCTGTTGGTGCGGCTGTTACTATGGGGGCAGGTGGTGGAGGCATTAAGTTTGATGCTTCTGATTTACGCTCAGCAGCTGGAGCTGGGGCCGTAGTTTCCTTTTTATCCGTTTCCACATCAGTCTGTCTCTTTCTTGGCACAGGAACTTCTGTCTCTGGCGGTGGATTAGTATTTTCCATTGTTTCTGCAACAGCCAGAAGATCGGCATTTGAACGTTTACTTTTACGTGGCGAGACATGACCCTTTGATAATTTTCCTTCCTTTTTCTTATTTTTATCAGCTAAATGATCATTATCTAAATTTGAAGAAAATTTGTCTGTTTTTTGTAATATGCCTCTATGGTAATATTAAATTACTGTTCATACCTTCACCCTCCTCTTCATTCAATGAGGAAAGACGCTTTACACGCTTCTTCGTCTGTTGGGGTGACGCCGCTGGAATTTCTTTCAACACTTCTTTGGCTGCTGCCGGTATGGCTGAGTGTCCAAACAAAATTGCACGCAATTTTACTAACCATTCCTGATTTAAAAATGAAAACAAATAGAATTGGGGCTTGTAGCGTTCTTCGAAAATAAAGCGTCACACATCGCTTACCTCTGTTAATTGTTCTAATTCTCTGGATGCACTCTCGGTGATATCGTATAGTTGCACTAGATCTTCCATTATGCGAATAATTTCCTACAACAGTCTCTTATTAATAACACTTAGTACTTTAAGAATGTTTCTTTGTCTTAATAATTTATTTTTCAATTGCTGTACATTTCACAAATATTTATTTTTGTTTCTCTTTCACACTCTCTTCGATTCCTTCAAGGAGACAGAGCCACGCTCGCACCGCCAACACCGACTTGATTAAAATGAAACTCAGTAGTGAAAATTTCAAAAGGATTTAACCGCCATTACTCATTGTGGATTGTATGGAATGCGATCACAGTTGTAAAATTTAGTATCAAGTGGTCTTACAGAGTTGTTATTTCGAGTTACAGTGCTGCATGCGGTCAACATAATTATTCAATTCAGTAACGTATAGCAAACATGTTGTAGTAGTTTCTCGCACAGTCTAAAGTCGAAAACTGAATCAGCGTCTGAATTTTGTTCTGTAATTACGCGTTGACAAAAAAATTGTGTCGTGAATTTTGGGTTCTATAAAGAGTGCCACATCTCAATAAATTCTGTTGTAAAAAAAAAACTGTTATACCATAGTAAAATTAAGAACATAAATTCATTTCAAATAAGCATTCCCATCTCTGCATTTTCTGCAATTTACCTTGTCAAATTTCCCGACATAGAAAACAGGTTCCCATTGATATTTTTTGCTTTGACAAATAAAAACAATATATTTTTAAAATCAGTGATTGGAAGAAACTTACATTGCGAGGCGCTCATTAAAGCCATTAACCAGTTTTTCCTTGGAATTGAATGATTATAAAGTTTGGATAATATTTCGCTCTATTTAACTAATTTTTAATATAAGAAAAACAAATAAATTCAAAGAACTTGTTGCATGCTTTGTTAGAAAATTCTGGCAGGAAGCTGACATAGTGATGTATTTCTTTATTTTTCTATCTCCTTATTGTACCATGGTTTTGATAAATGAGATTACCTCTTTAATTTTTGCCATGGATACACCCTTAGGAGGGTATGAATGCCACGCAGTTCCTGTTTGTTTAATAGCCAAAAATAATGTAGCAAAAAAGGCAATTGATTTTATAAAGGTTTTTTTTTCATATTGACAACGAAATTTTATATCAGAAAATATGTATATTCAAGCATGGAAGTTAATAACAAAACATAATATGAAATTATACACTAGTATAGTCAAATAAGGTGGGTTTTGCAGATACCTTTTAATAATAGTGCCAATTTTAGGCTGGTTACTACATCCTTCCGATAATTAAAAATAAGATGTTGTCGGACAAATTAGTCATTTTTCGGTATTGTAAATTTTAATTAGATATTAACTTTCCGATAAGCAAAAAGTCAGACCTTCAATCAATCCTTTCTTCAATTTATTATCAATGGTAACAAGAGTTCAGCTAACTTTTAGTTAAAAAATAAAAGGAAGATATTTTTTAACTAAAAGTTAGCTGAACTCTTGTTACCATTGATAATAAATTGAAGAAAGGATATAAGATCGGGCCAGAATTTCTCATTAAAACTAAAAAAAATTACAAGTACAAGAAGTATTCATGGTACAATTACAGAAGGTAGAACAAAGCTATTAAGTTTTTTAAAAATACCAAGTATATCCGTTATATTGGGGTCTATACGACGTGGACCTACATAGGCATTGTTTGTCATAAGCCATACTTAAATTCGAAACTTGAAATAAACGGTAAATAATGTAGCTAAAATCATCAAAATATCGTATATAGGGAGCAACCGTTATATCGGAGCCATGGTAGAAAAATGTAGGTAGGTGCATCAACGCTTGGGAGCATTGATATGTCAAAAAAAAATTTAATTTCTTTTCAAATATATGTAGATTTTTATATGTTTTCTAATACGACGTCATTCAGAGGTTATTATAATATGGTTTTTTCAACAATTTTTACAAATTTAAATAATTTTTCGTTCAACATTTTCAATTCCAAAATTGGTTCGACAGTTCATTGTCCCAGCAGCTGCGTCGATGCGTCTACCTATATTCTTCTACCATGATCGGAGCAGTGCGAAGACCTGGTCCTACATAGACAATTTTCTGTCACAGGCTGCAGCATTCATTACGAACTTTAAATACCACATCTCAAACAATTTCGTACCTAAAATCGTCAAAATACCGAATTTAGGGAGGTACTGATATATGGGCCTATACGAAAACCTTGACCTGCATAGACAATTTTCTGTCACAGACTGTAGTTTCCATAACGAACTCTAAATACGTAATTTCAAACAACTCTGATGAATAATGATGCTAAAATCATCAAAATACCGAATATCGGGAGGTACCGTTATGTGGGGGGCTGTATGATAACGTGCACCTACATGAACCATTTACGAACTTAACCTGCCTACTGGAAAAATAAACATGTGTGCAAAATTTTAGCCATCTATCTCAATCCATTCGAAAGATAGCGTGATTAAAAAAAAACAGACAGACAGGCAGACGGACATCGCTAAACCGACTTAGAATTTTACGCTGATCAAAATATATATACTTTTTTGGGTCTATTTCGAATATATATACTTTGTTGGGAGTATTTCGAGGAGTTACAAACGGAATGACAAAGTTAATATACCCTCTACAGTATGGTGCAGGGTATAAAAACATATGCACGTGTGATAGCAAAAATTATGAGTCATATGTATATGTTTACATATGAATAACAAAAGTAACATCAAATATGTAAAACCCATTCCGTCTGATAATGAGTTTAATAGCCAAAAATGTTGCAGCTAAAAGATTTAAAAAATGTTCTGATCTCTCTTTTAAAACTGCTTCTTGCATTTATACAAGGCAACAAATTTCAGCAATTTTCATTTTCATTATTGCATTTTATGTGATTTTCAATTTTATTTTTCTATAAAAGTAAAAAAGCACATAAGGAGTTGAAAGAAAATTGCCAATAGGATCATTTTTTTCCATTTCTTTTGCCTTGCAAAATATAGATTCGGACTATTTAAAAATGTATTAAAAGTATAGGTAAGCTTAGTGCTTATTTTCACTTAATTATTTTCATGAAATCACTAATATAACAGCGTTACCTAAAATTGTGTACACCACAAGTATGAAAATTACACACTATGGTAAAATGTTTTGTACGCCTGTACTACCCAAATCAAAATCTACTGACTAATAACGTCTTAAAAATTTATCATTTTTAAAGTGCATCAAATTGTTAAATTTTCCATATACAAACATTCATTATTTTCGTATTATTAATTTTATACACAAAATAGCATGGTACAATAAAATGGTAAGGTAGAGCCATGGTACAATGAAGAGAAGGTAGGTCAACTCATGGTACAATGATATCAAGGTAGGGCTATGATACCATATGATTTCAATTTTTTTATTTTCTTGGCTTAATATGTCATCTTTATTTGTTTATGTATGTGTTTTCTTTTCAATAACAAAAAAATTGTTCAGAAAACATTCAAATTCGGATGTTTTCAAAATGTTTATTTCATCGCATGCATCGACAAAATCTAGAGTTTTTGTAGCGAAATAATCCTTTAGAGATATATAGAACCTGGGTTTGAAAAGAAGTGTTGACCTTTCATTCAGTTTTCGCGGTTTTCAATTATTTATTCAAAATAAATGCAACAAGTTGTTTGATTTTGTTATTGTTTTGATACTATTTCTGACATTACAAGCCAAGCAGGTAGACCTCTATACTTGCAATTTTTTCAAAGTTGACCTACCTTCTCTTCATTGTACCATGGGTCAACTTTGAAAAAATTGCAAGTATAGAGGTCTACCTGTTTGGCATGTAATGTCAGAATGGCCGACTTCTGCCAATTTTGTGTATGTATTTATTGTTTTGAAAAATGAAATCAAAATATTTTCAAAACGATGATTGGAAGACACGTAGATTGCGGCTCGCACATTAAAGCTATTAACCATCTTAGCCATGTAATTGAAAGATTGAACAGTTTGGAGTTTGAGCGAAAAATTCAGTCATTTCATTCATTTTTCGCGTTGTTTAACTCATTTTAAAAATGAAATGAAAATATGAAAAAATGAAAACAACTTGTTGCATATAATTTTGAATGAGTCTGACAGGAAGCGGGCATAGCCTCAGGGCTGTTTTACGAAGCTGTTCTACCTCCTTATTGTACCATGACAAAAAATAACATGTGTTGAAATATTGCAACTTTGAAATTTCGTACGCTCGATGTGTTCCGGTAACATTCATAATTATTGTTCCCCAGTGCTTATTATAACAGTTAACAAAAAATATTGCAAAATAAACGATGAATCGTAAGATGTGATCTCCCTTTGTACTTTCTCTTGAGGCGCCATAAAATGAATTGAGCCTCATAAATATATCGAGAGAATTTGGGTTACATTAATTTCATATATTTTATTGAACCTTTTGATATTTCTAAACGCAAGAACTGTGCGGAAATTTAATTCTTAAGTATTTTCACCGAAGCCCAATTTAAATTTAAATGTCAATGTATCGGAATTTTCATCGGGGAATACAACTCTGTGTTGATGACATGTGAAGATGTGAGGTTGAGAATAGCGCCATTAACATGACAGCGAATTTGCGTGGAAAGCAAAGAAACGGGAAGAAGAAAAACGTAAATTAAGTGAATTAATAAAAATTCGACATAAAACTTGTAATTTTTCTATTGAAAAATAACAACGAACGCTGTAAAATGCCTTTCTAACGCACCCACATCCAAGGCAAGCAGTTGCAGCATAAAAATCAACCACTTCTCGAAGAAACAGCAGAATTTTGACAACAAGATAAGTAGTGCAACAAAAGTAACAGCAGCAGAGGAAGCAAGCATCAAACTCAGAAAACACACACATACCACGACGCACAATGGGACTTGACTTCGATGCGTTGGAATACTGCAAGAGTGTGAAGCATTCGCAGCCACCGTACGGTTGTCCAGTCCCCAAATGTGGTCGCAGTTACAAGACGGTGATAGGTCTGCAGTACCATCTGGTTAAGTATGATCACGACAATCCACAGCCATTGACACCGGTGATGACGCCAAATCGAAAGAAGGCGCGTTCTCGCGGTGCAACACATTCGACACCCAAAGGTGGTGGTGTTGGCGGAACAGGTGCTGATGGAGCTGAAGATGAACAGAATGGCGGAAACGCCAATACAGCACATTCAATCAATCCCGAGTCTTTGGTTTCATATAACGACGATGAACAGAGAGTAACGTTTAATGTGGAGGGTAAAAGTGTAC